GTTTTGTACTACATTCTTTGTATGAGAAATAGCAGCTCAGTACCCCAACTCATTCATACTATAACAGTTTTAAAAATATGTAACAAGTATAGTGATTTAAAGTTATGCCCAATCCTTCCCCATTACATTGCTCATTTGGGCCACTTAATTTTTCACATTCTACTTGTGAGATGTCGATCATGAAAAAAATTCTCAGGGTATATATTTTTCACAATGTGTATAAAATTGTCTTTGCCATCTTTGTCTTTTTCAAGAGCCAAACAATAAAATTCCTCAAAAATATCTATTACTACTGTATCTTGCAAAACACTTTCTTAATTTCAGGGAACATATATAAATACCTTATTCCTTGACGAAAAGTCTAGTTGTTACAGGCCAAAATCTTCTGAAGTTCAGTCAAGAATCTGGAAATATATCAAGTTTCTACTAGCACTATGAAATGTTTCAATTTAACACCTATGCCTGAAAAACTATATAACTCTTAAATTATTAGATGTAAGCAACCAGAGTCACTTGGGCATAAGTAAAGTCAGTAACTACTCTGCTACAAGAATCTCACCAGACTGCTTACCTTGCTCTGGGAACAACAAGATAAGGCTTCATGGATCATAGGGGAGGTCACACTTATGAAGTTTGCGACTGCGCAGACTCCAAGCTAGAACCCTCCTACCAGGCTCGCTGGCAATTTCCCAACAGATGTTCACATAGGATCACTTCAGTTAGTTCCGCCCCCCGTCAAATAGTATTATTTTGTTTGCTCATCAATAATTTTCAAACATATTAAACTTGCTCCTATGATACATCTATGTTACCTTTCTTTCTGGTCATCTTATACTCAAATTTCTTCCTATTTAACCATAATGTGGTATCCTTTCTGTTCATTATTATAAATAATTAGTAACTCTCCTAAAGACCAATTAAATATGACTTTTTTTTTAGGAATTATCCTTATAGCTGTTTTATGATTCTGAATTAATGCAGTTGCTTTTAGGCTGTCTTTTACAGGAATTGAGAATTTTGGTCATTAAAATGTTATGCAACATGTTTTTAGTTAGATTGGACATATATGAAATAATTTGGGACCAGACTACCAATAGTGTCCATATTTTATGGAAAATTCTGAAGTATTTTCTGTGATTCTAAATTGATAAAGACCATTTCATATGTAGTGTAGGTATGGTATCTTATTTATTTTCCCCCAACATTTGAACTGCTTAAATGTAATTTTGATCTGAGAAGGCAATTAGAATCAGTGCATATAAGTATGGTTTAATGAGAAAATCATACATATTCAAAGATTTATTTAGAAATTATTTACAATGAAATGGTTGCAAAAGCTGAATGGTATAGATTTAATATAGACAGAATTCAAAGAAAAAATGACAGCACAACTGTTGTCATATTGATGTTAGCATGCTTAAAGAATTACATGCACAACTACTTTCTCCAGAAATACAAAAGCTTAAATTACTTCCAACTTTTCCTCCCATTTCTAGCTTCTACTCACCAAAAGTAAATTACTTTAGTTCTTGATATTACCCAATTGTATTGTGCATATTCTCTAAATGTATCTTCCCTTCTACTTCTAACCATCTTTATCTAAGGAAGTACTGTATTCTATTTTATAAAACTTCAATGGCCCCAATGAACAGCTGTCTCAAGATGGATTTGAGAAGAAAGTGTATTACAACTCTGGCTTGATTAGTACAGGTAGTCGTTGACTTTCAATCACAAGTGAACCATAAATTTCTGTTGCTGAGACAATTGTTTTGCCCCATTTTATGACTTTGCCACAGTTGTTAAGTGAATCACTACAGTTGTTAAGTTAGTAACTCAATTGTTAAGTGAATGTGGCTTCCCCATTGATTTTGCTTGTCAGGTCACCAAAGATGATCACATGATCCTGGGACACTGCAACCCCCCAAAAAGAGTCAGTTGCCAAGACTCTGAATAAGTCACTATTTTCAGTGCTGTTGTAATTTCGAACAGTCACTAAATAAACTGTTGTAAGTCAAGGATTACCTGTATTATATCCATTCCAGTTTCCCATTTTAGCCTACACAGTGCTTATTTATATTATTACTAGGTAATTTAAAGATATTCCTGATAATGAAAAACTTTCTATGGAAAAACATAGCAATAGAAATGTTTTCAAGCTAATTTTCAGTTTTTTCAAAACTCAATTATACAACTCAAATACTTTCTGCATAAAAAACTTTTTATACAGAAATAAATTTTCATTGCATCCTACTTTACTAAATAAATATATTGTATTTTTACTAATGTATTTTCCCCTTAGAAAGTTTTTTATTTATGGTAATATCTAATTTCCCTTTTTTAATAAGATGAATTCATTTCTCAAACTATACTGTACATATCCCTTTTTAAATAAAAATACTGTATTACATGCAAAGCAAAATTAAGACCAACAAATTTGAATATATTTGATTTCCAAAACACTTAGGAGAGAGGCGGGGAACTAATGCCCCTTTATGACCTATGGACTTCAACTCCCAGAATTTCTGAGCCAACATGGCTCTCTTCTCTCATTTCAAATTTAAAAATGTTCAAGTGGTATAGTTTAAGCAGCTAAATCTCTTTCAAAGATTGTTAGTCCTGCTCACTTTCTGCTTTCAGACAAGGTGACTGAAACTGAACAAAATATTAAATGTGTGTGGGGTGGGTGGGTGGAGGTTATTCTTTGCTAACCACAAGGTTCTATCTTTTGAGTTGGAGTTTGAACCTAGTGACATCATACTATGCTATTCAATTTATGACATTTAATTCAATGAATATACCATCTCTTCTTTTTATTTGTTCCTTGCATCAACATGCAGTTTAATATTTGTATAAAGTAGAAAATAAAAACAAAACACAGTATTACCTGTCTTAATCCAACAGCCAATTTCTGGATGAAGATATTCTTTTTCATGTTTGGAGGTTTATCATCTGGTGCTAAATACTTTTTATAACACCTGGTTAGTTTTATTTTTCCTTTCTAAACTACAAAATGAAGAAACAATAATGTTCAGAGTTGTAGTTTTTAAGCAAGATTATTATTGTTGCACTTAAATTATTCCTGCTTTATATTCATGATAATACATAAATAAGAAAAAATAAGGAATACATTTGTGACTCCCATGTTTTTTCTTGCCACCATCGTAAATTCAGAAAGGATCCAAATTGGAGGAAAGACATTTGTCACAAAAATGCACTGGAAATAACACTGGTGAAAATAGGGTGCACTTTTGTGTAGTTCCAGATCATTCTGATTACATGCCATATTTTCCTGAATAGTTTGTTGTTTACTCTTGCTCCCCTTCCAAAATCTCTCTCCTTCAGCTTCCAAGTATTCCACTCTTTCCTTTTTCACAACCTCATGATACGAAAATCAACAATAGCACTAGATTGTTCTGCTTTTGACCAATCTGATATTAAACACTAGTCATTTGCTCTTATTCACTTTGCACAATTTCAAACAGACATGATCAATTATACATCCAAAAAACAGCTCAACTTCCTGTTAAAGAGTTGTAAGGACCACACTCTCCTTAAAATCATAATCACATATCAGTATATCAAAATCCAAATACATTTATTATTACTTGTAATGGATACAACATCTATGTCCTCTAGGATATCGTTCAAATTACTAGCTGCTCTCATTTCATTAACCTATACAGTAATTACATAAGCTTCATATACTATACTTGTTCATCTACATAACTCCAGCATAAACATAACTTCAATCCCCTGTTGTTTTCCTAATACAAATAGTTTTTGTCTTCTTTTTTCCCAAAACGTACACCATATATTATACGGTTCCTCAATACGCCTTTGCACTATCACGGCACGTCCCCTCCCTTTACCCCAGATTGGGAGAAAAAAAATACGTAGTAGACGAGGTTATGGAGGCGGCAGAAGCAGCAGCTTTATAATTTTTATCACTCCATCGGGCTTCCTATATGACACACATTTCCACCGCATCCCCTCCTGTACCCTTCTTCGCTCTATATTTCTGCCACCATCATCAGCCAGGCCCTTGTAAGTATCCGACTATCACTAGCTGTCATTAACACGGAGAAACCACCTGCACGATCCGTGCTAGCTCCTTCTGTTCTTGTGACGTATTCACAACCTATTTCTTCTGATCTCATCTCCCCCGCAAACCCTCCACACCCTCCAAAACAATAACGTCGCTGTCAAAAAATTTCTACCAAAGGGGAATCCCGCAATCGAAAACGACAGCCCTACCCTGGGACTTCCACTTCACACAAACCTAGTGCTCAGACTCCTCCCCGTCCACCGTCCCTCCTTCCTCTGTTGGCTCCTCCCCTCTCCCCACAGTTGCGGGGGGATGGGACGGAAAACTCGGTGCAAAGTAGTACCCCTCCCCCCCCCTCAACTCCAAATACTTCCTGGCAGTTCCTGCGGCCCCGCTACGCACAGCCGAAGCCCCAGCCTTTTCCTTCCAGCCAGGGCCGGCGCATCGGCGGTAAAAAGCAGCCGCACCGGCACTTCTCTCTGAATAGCCGAGCTACCTCGACCCGCAATCTTTGGTTTGGTGGTTGTGTTTGCACACAAGAGAAGGGACAGGCAGGCAAAGGGTCTATTCCGAAGGAATGCTTTCTCTGCCCAGACAAAAGATCTCCTAGCTCTCCTCTCAATATCCACTTTGAAAAAACGGACTCCCTTCCTTCGGCTGGACACGGAGGAAGAGGACAGCCTTCATCCCAGGGACATCTCCACCCGTGGATGCTTTTGCCGTTCCCCCCACCCCTCGCCCCAACTCGTTCAAGAAAACGCACAGCCCCTTCCTCCGCCGCCGCCCTTCATCGCTCCTCCAGATCGGGAAGGGAGACAGGAAAGGCAGCATCTCCAGCAGGGAGATCTCGTCCCTTTCCCGGTTCCAATTCTCCCCCCAACCGCACACTAAACAAAGCCTCCCCCACCCAACAAAACTTCATGAAGGCCAAGCAGCCAACCGGCCATCTGCTCACCTCAAACCGGCCCTTAGTGACCCCATTCATTTCCCTCCTCATGGCTGAGGCCTGGCGGGGGTCAGCTCGGGCGAGACCAAGCCAAGCCGGGCCAGGCCGAGCCAGACCTGGCCCCCCACCTCCTTGGCGCGGCGGCTTCGGTCGCTTGCTTGGCCGTCGTCCTCCCTCTTCTCCGCGGGAGGGGGATGGCGAGAGAGGAGGAGCCGTGATCCCCCCTCCCAGGAAGGCGGCGGGGACAGGATCTCGGTGCGCGTGAGGCTGCTGGTCAGCGAGAGTTCCTTCCCGGCACGCGCGACTCCGAAGGGCGAAAATAAGGAATCCGGCCTTCTTCAAGTACAACTAATTCTTCTACCCAAAACAAAAACACGCCGCACCTGCCAGCAACAGTGCCGCTCATTGGCCGAGGACGGCGCAGACGAAAGAGGGAATATTAGACGGCGCGCGCTCCCGAGACCTGAAGCGAGCTGCCGTGGGCGCGCCTGCTACGGGGAAGAGGGTGGAGGTGTCTGTTTTTCCCTTCTGATCTCTTTGCGGGTGATGCAGCAGCGGCAGCTACTGCCGCTCTGTGGCGGATGCAGTTTTTTCCCCCTATAAAGTTCAGATATCGAGGATGCTCACCGACTCTTTACGTGATCAATAAGTTATGTACGTGTTTCCTTACGTGCTTACGTGCATTAGGCATTTTCTCTGTACAGCACTTTTAATATGTACTATCTCAGTTTCACTCCGCGGTGGAGATGTAAGTGGAAGAGGACTGAAATCTGAGGTCTGGCTTTCTGATTTAACTTAGTTGTAAATAAAGCCACTAGTTTATTCATGAATATTAATACATAGATCAATAAAGAAGCTAGTACCAATTGGTAATTGAGCACACTAAAATTTTCCCTGGATTGTATAAGCCTAGTGTAAATATATGGGACCCACATAAAAATCACCATTAAAACACAGAGCACATCTGTTTGCATGTATGAACCCCCCCCCCCCCAAATCATGGCTCCGACTATTGTACTAGAGTGCTACAGTGGATCAGAGGCATAGGTCAATTAGCATGGGATTAATATGGAGTGATGTTTTCATTACAGATTCTCTTTGCTGGCATGCAATGAGTCATTGCAACAATGTACTGGTATCTGAACATTTTGGGTATTAATGAGGCATTAAACTATTGTAGGAAGTCAGACTCCCCCCCCCAGAAGGAAATATTTTTGGGGGGGATATTAAAAAAGGCAGAATATTATATTTTCCCAAAGGATCTTAAAGGGAGAAAAGCAGGCTCAGTTTTTCTTAATAATCCCAAACAGAAACTGAGCAGGCCATCTCTGTAGAAATGCAGATTTGATAATCCCATTCAGGAAGAATGGGCCCAGTGCTCTTCAACATCTTCATCAACGATTTGGACGAGGGGATAGATGGGGAAATCATCAAATTTGCAGATGACACCAAGCTGGCAGGAATAGCCAACACTCCAGAAGACAGGCTTAGGATACAGAAGGATCTGGACAGACTTGAACACTGGGCGCTAACTAACAAAATGAAATTCAATGGTGGGCTGCATTAACAGAGGGATAGAATCAAGATCACGTGAAGTATTAATACCACTTTACAATGCCTTGGTAAGGCCACACTTGGAATACTGCATCCAGTTTTGGTCACCACGATGTAAAAAAGATGTTGAGACTCTAGAAAGAGTACAGAGAAGAGCAACAAAGACAATTAGGGGACTGGAGGCTAAAGCATATAAGGAAAGGTTGCTGGAATTGGGTATGTCTAGTTTAATGAAGAGAAGGATGAGGGGGGACATGATAGCAGTATTCCAATATCTCAGGGGCTGTCACAAAGAAGAGGGAGTCAAGCTATTTTCCAAGGCGCCTGAAGGCAGGACAAGAAGTAACAGATGGAAACTAATCAAGGAGAGAAATTAACCAGTGGAACAACCTGCCTCCAGAAGTAGTGAATGCTCCAACACTGGAAGTTTTTAAGAAGAGACTGGACAGCCATTTGTCTGAAATGGTATAGGGTTTCCTGCCAGAGCAGGGGGTTAGACTAGATGACCTCCAAGGTCCCTTCCAACTTTATTATTATTATTATAAGACTGGGGCTAGGAACCTTGGAGCTGATGGGATTAGAAAGACAATGACCCTAAAATCTACATTCCCCACCCGAAATCTAAAGACATGACCTTTAGGATATAATAGGATTAACCCATCACCAAAAGGGCACACTGAACCTCAGGTCAAAGTTCATTGCACAGGAACAGGAACAACCTCAAACAGGAACACAAAGCCCCAAAAAGGTATAAAAATCCACCCATTCCCAGCTCCATTTTGTCAGCTGCCCCAGAACTGCATGTTGTTGCCGTTTTGCTCTTCAATAAAGCAGGGCTTTTCAACCTTTTCACCCATTGTACCACTTTTAGGATATGGCAGCATCCGAGTACCACCAGTCGCCTAGCAAGGTGTCAAAAACTTGATGACCAAAAAAAAAAAAAAGGAAAAAAGTGATAAACTACAGGTAGTCCTCGACTTACAACAGTTCGCTTAGTGACTGTTCGAAGTTACAATGGCACTGAAAAAAGTGTCCTCCAAGCCACAGCTGAGCAAGACACCTGCCTGCCCACCCGGCGGCGCTCTTCCTCCTGTCCGAGGTTTCCATTGTTGTGAGCATTTCTGTTAAGGATTGGCAGTGGGGGTGGGGTGGGTGTTTGGTTTTTATCCCCCCCCCCCCGTCTGCTGGGTAGTTGCAGCAGGTTTTGGTCCCTTCACATGACCCTGGGACACTGTGACCGTCATAAATATGAATTAGTTGCCAAGCATCTGAATGTAAATCACAAGACCCTGGAGATGCTGCAACATTCCAGTTGATTGGCGCTTCTTCAGGGCTCAGCAGAAGTGCCAGGATCAGCGCCAAGCTCCAGGTAGAGCCTGGCGCTGATCCTGGTGCTTCCGCTGAGTCCTGACAGCCTGCAGCTCCAGCATCTCTCGCTCAGGCTTGTGTGCTGCTGCCACCGGTTCAGCTCATTCCCCTCCCCCACTACCACTTTTCTAGGATGGTCGCGTACCACCTGCCAGGTACCCGTACCACTGGTTGAAAAGCCCTGCAATAAAGCACCTTCTTTTCTAACAGCCTCCATTTTGTTTGGACTGGACCTGGAGATTTTTCTTTCAACACTATCATGAATAGCCATAATTGTTATTTGTATCCTCATGAAAGTTCTACCAAATCACATTACACTTCTATCTACCTATAATGAAATATCACAATAATGGAGCCAGAACTCTTTGCTGCATCATAGTGCAAAAAAATATATATCTCATTTTACATGCAATCTATACCAAACCACAAAACTATAGATCACATCTTTCTGCATATATTGAATTCTGACAATCATGGGTTTGACAATTTTTGAACTACCTTACTCAAAAGCACAGATCAAGTTAGTGAGCATCTTGACTTCACATGAATTTTAAATAGAAGTCATATTAAAAACCAACATCAAATCACAGAGGCCATTGACCTGCATACTGTGAGCAATCAGAATTAGAAATCTAATCATTCTTAGCAGCCCCATAGTATAAAAATATGGATCCAAGACACAAGTCCTATTGTGTGCATAGAGTGAGCCATCACAATTACAGATTTGACCATTTGGGCACCATAGTTGTACAAACTAAATTAGCACTAGATAAGAATTAGCACAATTCAGCGCCAATTTAGTGCTGACCTTAGTTGCAAATAAAGGAGAATATTTGTAACTCAGGAATGAAATGAAGGATCCTTGGTGCTCTCTGAGCTTGGTTGTTTTCTTGTAGACATTTTATTACCCAAACTAGGTAACATCATCAGTACTATTCATTATCATAGTAGACTAGATTCTTGTATAGGCATGAGCAATAAATTAGCTTAACTGGAACTTTACTCGTAGTTCTAATTCTTCCTGTCTGACAGATTTACATAAAACTTCCAGATCATAGAGATAATCCTTGACCTACGACCTCAATTGAGTCCAAAATTGCTGTTGTTAAGTGAGATAATTGTTAAGTAAGTTTTGCCCCATTTTACGACTTTTATTGCCACAGTTGTTAAGTGAATCACCCAGTTGTTAAGTGAATATGGCTTCTCCATTGACTTTGTGAGAAAGTCGCAGAAAGGGATCATAAGATCCAGGGACACTGCAGCTTTCATAAATATGAGTCAGTTGTCAAGTATTTGAATTTTGATCATGAAATCATGGGGATGTTGCAACAGTCATAAGTACTTTTTTCAGTGCTGTTGTAACTTTGAAAGGTCACTGAATGAACTATTGTAAGTTGAGGAATACTTGTATAACATCTGTTTACATGGTATAGTCCAAAACAATCAGCTGTCCAAAAGTTTTTAGCACATTTAATGCCAGTATAACTTTGTGATAGATATTCCAGTCTCGATTGTGGTCGTAGTGAGACTATATTCAAACAGTGGGTCTGATGTCCCCAAGTGCAACACTGGATTCCCATAATACCTTCCTGTGCTGGTGATGCCATATTCTTGCCTGCTCTCTCAGTCTTCGCACCCTGCTTTTACCCATTACTCCATTCTTCTAAACCAAGCCATATAAACCAGACCATTCAAACTACCAATCAAGAGAACCAATCAGCTGTTCAGAATTTAAATGTAGCTCCAAACGAACAACCAATCACACGACCAACTGACTGCACTGGCACACAAGACATTTATAAGCTAAGGAAAATAGGAAAATAAAATCCTGCTGCTGATGTTACCTAGCCTGGTAATGATACATTCAAAAATTAAATTGAAACATGCCTGGAGAGCAAACCACTGCCAAAAATCAAAAACCCAAGCTACAGATATTTTCTATTATTTCACTCCTCAAAATGTCCAAATCAATACCTAAGCACCCCAATTTGTCCCCCAAAAAACCTCCCCCCTCCCCCATGCATATACGCGTTTTGTTATATCATCAAGATTCAAAAGCAAGTATAGGAAGCATGGATCCCTACGTTCCTTTTGATTTTTATAGTCAATACTTCCAAGTTTGCTGTTGAATGATAAAGTACAT